GGCGTGCGAACTCTTCTCGTAGACAAATTCCCTGTAGACCCATAGAGGTATTTTTTACCGTCTACACGATCGCGATCCAGGTTCCAAACGGAGAAAAGGCACAGAGACTCATTCGGTCGACCGGTGCGGTCGACCGATGAAATTTCGAGCTCTCGGTCGACCGCATTGGTCGACCGACAAACTCTCTGCTACCCAGAAATAAATGAACAATTGAGCGGTCGACCGGTGCGGCCGACCGAAAACTGATATGACAAAAAAACAGGTTTTAGAGCTGATTTTTGAGACTTTGGAAAATATGTTAAAAATAACAAATGAAGTCCAAAAATAATGAAACTTTGGGAAATGTATATAAACATGTAAATGAACATGTTACAAAAAGAATTTTCCAAATTACATTTCCCATTTGTGAAAAAATTATTATTTTGCAAAATAGTCCAAAACACAAAAAATGTAAACATATGAATTTTGACATTTAGGCTAAACCATGTTTTGAAACTCTGCACAATGATTTTGTAGACTTGATAAAATATGTATATGATTATTGTTAAGTCCAAAAACTAAGAATATGATATTTTCACAAATACATTAGAGAATGAAACATAGGAGTATGTATATGAAAATATATTTGTTTCATATCTAAGTAGTTAAACCAAATCACAATATTATAAACATGAAAACCCAATACCATGCATGTATATATATAAAACTATATATATGCATAGAAACCAAAACTTATGTATATATATATAACTATATATATATATACACGAAGAAACTAATAAATGTGTGTATATAGATATTGATCTTAACGTACTTAACACACATAATATAAATCCTAAACTAAATTACCCAAGCTTGATCTTGATCTTCATTGAGCTCAACTTGGTACACGTTACGGATGAAGCTAAACTTGGATCTTGAACTTGAATTGTACGATGCTTCACTCCACAATTCTGCCAACCTCCTCTTGATATGATCGTGTAGGCTCAATCCATCCAACCTCCAACTACGTTGTTTGTCTATAATAAATAAGAAAACACAAATACTAGACAAACAACATTAGTGATAAATTGTTTGTTAAACATAAGCAAAACAAGAAGGCCAACAGAGTTCATCCTAAGAACTGAAGAGCTCTCTATCTTGAGAGCGGCACATCCTAAAGTTTATGCAACTTTTTGGGAAGTTATGTGCCACTTTCAGATTTGTGCTTAGCTGACTGGGCTACACGGAGGCGGTGTTATTCAAACTTCTTAGGCAGATTATCTATTCCAAAACTTAGACTGGAAAGACATGGCAGTGACCCGTCTTGCTGTGAGCTCTCTTAAAAGCATCAAGGCTCGCATTAAAGCTTCTGATGCTTACTATATCAAAGAGGCTCAGGATGATACATTTCTGCCATCCACCCAATTCGAGAGCTTCCATTACCAAGCTAAGATTCTCATCTCTGACACAGCCCTCCTTGCGAGCTTTTTAATGATATGGCTGATGCGATGCATAGTCCCATTGAAGCCCATTGACTCCATCCTGGCTGAGGTAGTATACACAGTCGTCCTTTTTGCCCATAGGAGACAAGTGAGTCTCCGTCTCTACGATAACTTACGTTGATTGAAGAGCGGTCCGGTGGGAGTTGACTTAGATTGGCGTCGTCGGGAAGAAAATTTTTAAGACTCCTCAACCTTACGCACCAGTGTCGTACACTTATTTGGTGGCCTAGTTTGTCATACACTACCCCTTATTGATAATAGCAGCTTCTCCGCATAGCGGATGTTTCATCCCATTTGTACAACGGCTCGAGTCAGCCCAATAGGTGAATGTGTACATAGTCCGAGCTCGACAAATCCTATCAAAAGAGCTAAGCTACCATATCTTCTGTTGTTCTCCTAATTTTGATGAAATAAAAGAATAGTGCAAAACATATATGGATGTAGGTCCCAAGGGCTTCACATCCCTACATGGGGGCATTTTCCAATGGCTCCTCTCAATCAGACCTAGTTATCTTATTTTTTGACAAGATGAGAGGTGCATTATTGAGCCCTATATGCCTTCTCGATTTGCTCGCCAGTTTGGGTATGATCAACTGTATGTTAGAAATCTGAATCCAAAGCTAGCTCTTGCCAAAAACTTATATTAGGGGGCTCGGGTGCGGAATTACTTCTCAGCTGGGAATAGCCATGTAGTATTTATATTGCCCTCTTCAACGCCTAACTGCTATACTGTTCTGGAATTCTGTAGCTAGTTTCATGAAGCTTCTTAGATCCCAGAGTACAACATGTATGCTTCCTACTTAAAGGAGATCTGGGAATTGTATGAGTCCAGGAAAGACTCAAAGAATACCCGCCAAAAAGGGATGGACAAGTATTTATCCTACGAGAAAGTAGCGATTGAAGCAGAAGAAATCCAAAGAGAGGCAAAAGCAATTGAGCCTCACAAAGGAAGGGCAGTAGGGAAGTGAGCCCTCACTACTAAAGAAGCAGACCAATATGAGAAGAGGGCTCACCGACGACTACTCGTCAGGACCCTAACTTCTAAAACTCGTCGAGGGGTAAGATTAATGCAAGACGCTATTAAGTCTGCTCCTCCTACGATTGAAGATGATGAAGAGGAGCAATTGTCCACTTTATTAGCTTCTATGCAACAAGGGCTCCCATTGCCTGGCCCAGTTTCTGAAGAACCAGCTTCTCATGAATCCACTAACCTAAGCCCTGTATCTCTTAGTGCATTGGTGCCTTCCTCAACTGCTATTTTGGGTTCAGAGTTTTTAAGAGGACTTATCGAATAGCTGGAGTGCTGGATGAAATAGACAATTAACCTTGTTAGCATTGAGCGAGGTACTTTTGAGGATTTTAAACCCTTTTCAACAAGTTGCTTGAACAACATCAAGTGTTCGAGCGACACCCAATGGATCGAGCACTGCACAGAGAGCGTTACTCGCCTGGAGGCAGAGTTAAAGGCTTTGGAAGACTTGAAACGTGTTGATTTGGAGTCCGAAGCAGAGCAAGCTTTTTCTATCATTCGGATCGCAAACATACATTAACAGGAGGCCCTTCACATGAATTTATCTGAGAAAGATGCATATATTGTGAGCTTGCATGAGCAGCTTGACCGAGTATGAGTTGAACTGGCTGACTCTGCTACTACTATTGCTCAATTAAAGGCTCAACTTGCTGAGGAGGAAGCGACTGTACAAAGGCTCCACCTCTAGAGTGCAGAGATCGACGATGCTTATGGCAAGGAGATGCAAACTCTTGAGGACATCTAGAAAGAAATTGTTGTTGCTACACCTATGGAAGCAGAGCTCAGGAAGGAAGCTGGTAAACGGGTTCAAGCGACCCATGAAAAGAAGCTTTCAGATGTTAAGTCCTAGCTCGCATCTACTAAGCTGACGGACCCTAATACTTAGCTTCATTTTTCCTCCTTTTTTTTAGTTTAGTGCTGATTTTTATATCATTTTCATGACAAGTATTGTCACTTTGTAACAACTCAACAATGTTGAATGAAAATGATATTATTTTGCCTTTCATTGTTCCTTTTTTTTATGTGTTGTATTTTAACTTAGAACAATGAAAAGATTGAGAATGCCATAGGTGTAATGTTAACTTAGCATAAACTAAAAATTTTCTTTATTATTAAAATAATTCTAGAAAATTTCAATCATCAGAGGTGTAATGTTAACTTGACGATAAACAATCTGGGAAAGGTTTGAAAGATTTGTTACTCTCAACTTAATGAATTTCGAGTAACCAACTCCCAGTCTAAGTGAGTCTGATTTCTCCTCTTAGACTTGGCTGGGGATTAGAAAAAGAGTCTCATGATCTACGGGTAGTATTTCTTGAGAAATTTCCCATTGATTGGCATCATGAGCCTATCACCTTTCTGATTGATGAGACAGTAAGCTTCATTCGAATAGACTGTTTCTATTACGAAGGGGCCTTCCCAGTTGAGATTGAATTTGCCTTTGGTCTTGTGCGTCATCACCATAGGTCGTCTGACGGTCAACACCAGATCGCCTTTCTTGAAGATCCTTTTCTTAACCTTCTTGTTGTAGGCTTGGAAATTTGAGCATGATATAACTTGATCTGCTGCTAGGCTTGAAGTCACTTATCGTCTAATGCTTCTAGTTCTTAGAGGCGCAGTCGATGCTACTCTTCATCCGTCATCCAGGTTGCAAGAACAACTCTCAGGGATGGGATCCAAATTTCTAAAGATAATACGGCTTCACAGCCATATACCAAATAAAAGAGGGTGGCTTTTGTTGGGGTTCTCACTATTGTGCGGTAAGCCCATAGACATTTGCCCAGCTTTTCATCCCAGTCACGTCAACTCTTGGAGACAAACTTCTTGAGAAGTTTCACAATGGTTTTGTTAAAAGCTTCTGTAAGGTCATTAGATAGCGGGTAGTATACCGTTGATGTGACACTTTGGATCCTAAACCTGTCGTAGAATCTATGAAAACCGTGACTGACAAACTAAGTTCTATTATTGTGTACAATTAGTCTTGGTACGCCAAAGTGGTAGAGGACGTGATGTTTGATGAACTTGATCACATTCGAAGCATTAACTTCTTTCAAAGGAATGGCTTCTACCCACTTGAAAAAGTAATTGGTTACTGCCAATATGAACCGATGTCTTTTGGAGGTCGGTAGGGAGATAAGTCTGACGATGTCCATTCCCCACATCTCGAATGGCCAAGATGAGGTGGTTGGATGTAGATTTCCTAGTGCTTGATGAATGAAGTCACCGTGAATCTGAAAGGCATGACACCGTATAGCATAATTGACAGCGTCTGCAAATATTTTAGGCCAATAGTAACCAATTCTTCGAAGATGATCTCCTAATTTAGCTCCTGGTTAGTGAGCTTCACACATTCCATCATGAGCTTCTTTAAGAGCCACATGCACTTCTTTTCTGGAAAAGCAGTGAAGCAAGACTCCATCATGTGATTTTTAGTACAAGGTTTGAGAAACTACATCATAATAGAATCGAAGGGCCATCCATTTTACGATGGCCATTTCCTTAGAATCATCGGGCAGTATCCCGTACAAGACATAGTCAATATACGGGAACCACCAATCTCTTGGTTCGAGCTCAATTGAAGTCGCAAAGGCAATCTCCGCTGTTGTTTCGTTTGAGCAATCTTCTAAAGGTAGCTTGGGGTGATACAATTCACGACTCATGACGAATATCATCATCTCTACTTTTGGCGGCAATGCCAATGAAGTTACCAGCAAGGCTAGAGCATCTGCATATGCATACTAGACTCGTGGGATGTATCCAATAAAGAAGCCTTCAAACTTCTGGGCTACATCTAGCACAGCGAAGTGGTATAGGACTAAGTCCTCATTATGTACATCATATTCTCTTCGGACTTGATTCACGATGAGCTGAGAATCACCATGAGCCTCAAGGTATCAAATATTGTGCTCCTTGGCTAACTGCATCCCTAATACCAAAGCGTTGTAATTGTTGGTGCATGGCTCAATTAGAGAGAATCATCTTGGGATTACATGACCACTTGGGATACAAGTACTACCCCACACCAGTGGTATTTCCTCCATTAAGGTTTGCTCTAGACGTACCGTCAAAGAACAATTTTCATACTTGTATGCCCTCTTGGATTATACAAGCTTCAGCAACTTCATCTGGTAAGTCTTCATATAATTTGGACGAATTAGATATTGGATGATCAGCCAGGAAATCCGCTAGAGCTTGGCCTTTAGCATCCTTTTGAGGTAGGAATTGCATGGAATATTGCTATAAGAGTATCGCCCATTTCGTTAGACGGTAATTCAGTGAAGAGGGTTTCATCCTAAGAACCCTCAAAGGATTCACCTTGGAGATGATATGAATTGATTGTTCGACCAAATGGTGTCGCTTGTGCTAGAAAGCAAATACCAAGGCAATAACTCCTTTTCTACCAGATTGTACCAGTGTTCGGCTCCAATCATGATTCTGCTGAGGTAGAAAATTACATGCTCATGTCCTTGGTCTTTGTTCTGAGCTAACAAAGCTCTAAGAGAATGATCTATGGCTCTCACATGTAACAGGAATGGTTTTCCTGATATTGGGGCCCTAAGGACGGGTGCCTATGTGAGGTATCGCTTAATCTCCTCAAATGCCTTTTGGCAATCTTCATTCCAAAGGAATGAGACTCCTTTCTTCATCAACTTGGTGAAGAGTCGGCAGTGTCCTAAGAGATTTTATATGAATCTCTGAATATATTCCAATCGACCTTGCAAGTGATACGAGTCATCGTGCGAGCATCTTTGATCGCAGAATTATCAAAGGTGGGTTGAGAAGAGGATGACAGAAATACAAGAACAATTCAGTATATGACGAAGTAAAATACCCTCTCTAGATTATGAATATGAAAAGATTACAATCCCTCTCTCATAATCTCACTAGAATCGAGAACAAGCTCTCAATTCTCTATAAACCCTAATCTCTCTTGATTAGAATCTCACTTTGATTATATCTGATTGATTAGAAACCCTAAACAATCCCTTATATAGGTGTAACAATGTGGATGGCAAAGTGGTAAATAACCAAGCCTAACTCAACAGGAATTTGTGCAAACAGAAACCCAAACGAACCAGGAAACCTTCGATGAGTCGACTCACGACTGAGATGAGTCGACTTGTCCGAAACTGAACAAAACACAAAACCAGCAATGAGTCGACTCATGACTGAGATGAGTCGACTCGTCAAAGTCTGGTGATAAACGGTTGGATTTCATGAGTCAACTCATGACAGGCATGAGTCGACTCAACCTGATGAGTCGACTAACCTGATGAGTCGACTCATGACTGTTATGAGTTGACTCACGGGCTAAAAACTAGATGCTTCGATTCTTCGATTCATCGTCTCATTCCACGCTTCAACCTGCGTTCCACTGTGCTATTTTACACCTCTATTCTCAAGCTACCATGAGAATCAGCTATCCTCAACCTCCCATGAGGATCACTAAGTTCGGAAGATAAGATACACCAGTATCATGGGTCCCCCCTTTAGGAACTTGAAGTCACATTCAGGTTAGAACTTTAGCTAAGGAAACTCGCGAGCTCCTCCATCCTTTCTGCATCACCTGACCTTGCTAGGAACTCAGTAGCAACGTACAACTAGAAACGACTCCTTCGCTCCTTGCTTTATCGTAGTCGTCTTCCGCTCTAACATGCAATCCTCTTTCGATGGCTTTTCTGGAAGTCTAATACACAGCAAGACAAACTTCTTACTTGCATTCACTAACCTCTTCACTCACATCGCCGTCCCTAAGCTTGTCTCCCTCGGAAGAGACGCCGAACGAAATATGAACTTTTTACCACCTTTAGTGAATGTATACTTCTTAGCCCGCCTCTCGTAGATCGCATATCTATCCCATAAGTACGGATTACCCAGTATAATCTGACAAACATCCAATAGAACTACGCCGCACGTAACCTCGTCACTATACAACTCATGGAGCGCAAATCTAACAGTGCATTGATCAACTACACTCAGTCTCTCCTCCTTCTGAATCCACCCTAATGGATCAGGCTTCGGATGCTTGACCATCTTCAAACCCAGCTTCTGAACCAAGGCCTTAGATATCAAATTCTTCTCACTATCCGGATCAACTATGGTATTAACCAAACTAGTCTTCACTTGCAACTTAAGCACAAAGAGTTGCTCTCTCGGGTCATTGTCCTCCTTCGTGGCATGTCTCCCCACCATAAGGTTGAGATTGTTGTTAAGCTCTGTCATCCCCGGGAATTCTTTTGGACCTTGAGCTATCATATATACCTTTTTCTCCTCCCCCTGCTTCAATCCTTTTGGCTTGAGATGAGGATACTTCTCTCAACACCGATCAGCAACATGCCCTGTCTTCTCGCAGTGAATACAAATTAGTTCTACTTTCCCTGGATCACCCTTCTTCTCCTCCTTATGTTTGGAACCACTAGACTCGCCTCCTGTCTGTTTGGAGTCTCCCTTAGTCTCGTTGCCCTTCTTCTGCTTGCCCTTAATGGCAATAGCCTTCACGCTCGCCTCTGCAATAATCTCGACCGTGAATAACTTCATCTCCTTCCGGATGTAATTGCTCAATCCCGCCATATACTTTATAAACACAGAATATTCCTCTGTCATAATGTTGAGGACCATCGCCTACTGCTGGAACTCCGTGTTGTATTATTGAACGGTTTGATTAACTCTTTGCCGTAAGTCGTACCACTTGTACCAACACTCTTCAAGGAATCCCATCGGGTAGAACTTCTTCCTCAGTAACTCCTTGAACTTATTCCATGACACCGCCTTCTTCTCCAGCTTGCAGTAGGATTTCCACCATATTAACGCGTGCCCTAAAAGCTTCAAAGTCGCGAACACAATCTTCTCCTTGGACGAATATCCGTAGAGAGTGAAATACATCTCCATACGTTTGATCCAATCATCGAATTTCTCCACATTGACACTCCTATCATAAACAGAAATCTCCACCTTGAAGTCAATCTTTAGGTTATGGTAAGAATTCTTACCCCCTTGATGCAATGCAGCCTTAACGGTTGCCTCCTCCTCATCGGTATCTGAATCCTCTCTCTCCACATCGGACTCCACAATTTTCTTCTTAGACTTTGAAGAAGATTTACCTTGTTTATCACCTCCATGGATAAGACTGACGAGTTGTGTAAGAGTAGACCCTATCATCTCGATCTGCTTCTCTAATGCATCAATCCTCGCTGAATTGTCTCCTTCAGCCATCTCCTTCTTCCTTAAAACTTGGACTCCTTCCAATGAAATAAGGATCTCGCCTAGCTTCTTGTATTGCGATCGAGTCAGGACCATACACAGGATGCCCCCTCTACCGAATCTAATTGCTCTGATACCAACTTGATATGAGTCGCCGTGCAAGCACCTTTGATCATAGAATTATCAAAAGTGGGTTGAGAAGAGGATGACATAAACACAAGAACAATTCTATATGTGACAAAGGAAAATACCCTCTCTAGACTATGAGTACGAAAAGATTACAATCTCTCTCTCACAATCTTACTAGAATCGAGAATAAGCTCTCAATTCTCTCTAAATTCTAATCTCTCTTGATTATAATCTCACTTTGATTACATCTGATTGATTAGAAACCTTAAACAATCCCTTATATAGGTGTAACAATGTGGATGGCAAAGTGATAAATAACCAAGTCCAAACCCAACAGGAATTTATGCAAACAGAAACTCAAACGAACCAGGAAACCTTCGATGAGTCGACTCACGACTGAGATTAGTCGACTCATCCGAAACTGGACAAAACACAAAACCAGCAATGAGTCGACTCATGACTGAGATGAGTCGACTCGTCAGAGACTGTGAAACATGGCTAGGTTTCGTGAGTCGACTCATGACAGGCATGAGTTGACTCAACCTGATGAGTTGACTCATGACTGTTATGAGTCGACTCACGAGCTGAAAACTGGATGCTTCGATTCTTCAATTCATCGTATCGTTCCACACTTCAAACTACGTTCTACTGTGCTGTTTTATACCTCTATTCTCAAGCTACCATGAGAATCAGCTATCCTCCAGTTCCCATGAGGATCACTAAGTTTTGAAGAGAAGATACACCCATATCAGCTAGCCTCTGAGCTCTTTGATGTTTCTCAGAGGTGGCATTTCTTGGATAGCACGAATCTTTTCTGGATTAAGAGAAATCCCCTTGGATATAACTATAAACCCGAGGAATTTGTCGCTAGTAACCCCCAGGAAAGATTTCGTAAGATTCATCTTCAATTGATGTGCTCGCATAATATCGAACATCATCTTCAGATCTGCAAGATGTTCACCTTTGTTTTGGCTCTTCACCTCAATATCATCCATGTAACACTCTATCTTTTTAAGTAGATATTCATAGAAAATTGTGTTCATCGCACGCTGATAGGTTGCACCAGCATTCTTTAGTCCGAAGGGCATTACTGTATAATAGTACACCCCTAGTGGTGTTCTGAAAGCGGTGTGCTTTTCATCTTCTGGGTACATTTTAATCTGATTATACCATAAAAACCCATTCATAAAATACATCCTCTCATACCCATAAGTATTGTCAATCATGACATCTGTGATGGGGAGTGGAAATCCGTCCTTCGGATATGCAGTGTTTAGGTCACGAAAGTCGATTCAAATTCAAACATTGCTATTTTTCTTAGGCACGAGAACATTGTTAGCCACCCAGTCAGGGTATTGTTCCTCTCTGATAAAGTCAAAGTCGATAAGCTTTTTGACTTCTGATTCAATCGCCTCTATAATATCTGGACACAACCAACATTGTTGTTGCTTAACGGGCTTCGCATCTGGATCAATGTTAAGACGATGCATGGCTACTTTAGGATCAAAACCCGGCATATCTTCATAATTCCAAGCGAAGACATCTATATATTCTCTAATGAGAAATATGAGGTCTTCTTTCTCAGGGGGTGATAAGCTCTCGCTTATGAAGATTGGCTTGGGATTGATTTCATCCCCCATGTTGATTTGGATTACCTTATCTTCTATGGGTGGCTCATGTTGTTCGAAGTGCATATCCCACAAAATGTTAAGGCATTTGATCCAAGAGTTATTGGTGGACTCAATCGACTTTTTATCGTCCTCATCTACATCTTTATCTGGATGACTAGCTAAAGTCGTGTTCATAGACACGTTTTTAAAGAATGTTTCGATGCTCACATTGGATTCCCATGATCATGTTCCAGATAAATGGTCTTGCCATAGATAATCGCCGGCTTTATTTTCTAAAAGGGGAGGGGTTGAAATATTACCTAATCCCCTTCTTCTGGAGTGAAAAATCGAATTAGTGCTTGTCTTCCTTTCACGAAGTTTAAACCTTCCTGTTTATCAAAGTCATAACTCATTCTTCTTATCAGATAGATAGAATTAGGTTCATAATAATGAAATTGTGGGATTCCAAGATCTTCATCTTAATTTTCCCGTTTGGGTAACTTAGAATTAACTTTTCCAAAATAGATTGGATTTTGACCATTCTTTTTGGGCGAGACCATGAAGAAGGCTTTCTGTACATCTTCTATCACTTTGAATGTAGCAAAGGATGATTTGAGCGGTAAATCAAGTGATGCCTCAGCATACAATGTATGTCATGGATCTATACCTACATCTGTATCGGTCTCTGCTTTCTCACATTCAGAGGACACATTAGACAAGCAAGCCAAATTGAAACCTTCATTAATGTACCACTCACCCTCACTTGGTACATCATAATTATTAAGCTCTATAATGATCGTAAATTTTTTATACTAGTTAAAATAATTTTTCTGGTATTTTAAAATATTCAATTATTATTTTTAAAAGAGTATTTGTATTTTCTCAATTTTCTAAAATTTTTTATGATTTAAAAATCTAATTTTATATTTATTTAAATGATTTTGATAATTACAAATTAACTTGATGCAATGAAAACTTTTGAATTAAAATTTGTTGTGTTATTGTTATTGTTACGTATTAATTGTAAATAATTTTTTCTACTTATTCTAATTTTATCCCTAATTAATTTTTTAATTATGTCTTAACCCTAACCCTAATTTATTTATATATAAATATCCCTTATGTTTTTTTTCACGTCAACCTTCTCCCCCCTACCCGCAGCCTTTCTTCTCTCTCTCTTCTCTCTTTCATCCTCCCGCTACTCACACGTCCTTGGCGCCAAGCTCTGACGTACACTCGCGCTCCTAAGCTCCAGCTGCCGCTCGCGTGTCCTCAGCCGCCACAAACACAGATCGGGCTCGCTAACCGGCAGGCCCTGGACGCTCTAGTCTTCCACCTGCTCGGCGGTCACACGGATCTCACATACGCACCGCGCCGATTGGCTCCGCGCTCCCGCTCCTCTATTCGTCATCGAGCCTACCTCCTCTTAACCACCACCAGGCTCAGTAGCCGAAGCTCACATCACATAGTCGCACGCAGCAGATCTGCCCTCATCACCTCCCTACCCTCGGTCAAACGTCACCGTCGTGCCCTAACGCCCAGATCCACACCGTCGTGCTGCTCACGCTACCGACCAGCAGCCCTTCCTCCACCTTCAGATCTATCGCGCCACACTGTAGTGACGCTACCGACTCGTTCACAGGCTCTAGGCCTCATAGGAAAGATCCCCAACCTCGATTGTTATTTATTTTAATTTTTAGATTATCGTAAAAATTATTAGGTACAAGATCCATGTTCACGTTATTTATTTTCGTATAATTTTTAGATTTGCTAATTGTGCGTAAGATTCCGATTCTAGATTAGTTTACGAAAATTCTTATATTTGTCGTGCGAATTTATATTTTTAACTATTATTCATTAAAATTTTGGATACGTTAATAATTATCTACGTGTGTTTGATGAATAATATTAAATAAATTGTAATTATATGATAATTAGTATTTTCAGAATAGTTATAATAAATTAAAGAATTTATTTTAACAACAGGATTATTTTAGAATAATTATAATATTTTTCAGAATTTATTTGGTGGAAGGGAATCATTTTAGAATGATAAATATTTTTAAAATAATTTATTTTAGGAAATAGACTATTTTTAATTAATGAGAATTTATCTTGTAAAAAGATTATTTTTGAATTTATAAATTTATTATTTTAAAAGATTATTTTTAGAATAATTATGATAGAGACAATTTGAAAGGAAGTTATTTTGCAAAAGAATAATTTATTTTGAATTAATTTAGCTTATGAACATGTTATGGATGGTTTTCGACCATGATATTTTATGTGCAAAACATTCGTCATTCCATGATTCTTATTTTAATTACGTGACATACTGTGACACCCCAGGTTTCACACGAGGCTGCAGTCCAAGACGAAACCCGGATTATCAAACCTGCCAAGCACCAAATACCTTGCTACGACATGTTTCACCATCACAGTATCTATCTCTCTAGTAGAAATAATAAATAGGTGAATGTACCGACAGTCAAATAAAAGAAATAGAACAACAGAAGCAAATAAGAGAATAGTCATCAATGAGCCTAACAAAAATAGAATAGAAGTATCTCTGAGTCTGAAATAAACCTCAAATATAAAGAGTCAAATAAAGTATCACTATGGCTCTCCGCCTCTACAAAATGAATTACAAGTCTAGAGTCTGAATATAATCAACTAACTGTGAAGTTCTGACTAACTACTATATAATAAATAACTAGGTGAGATCTATGTAGAAATCTCATCAACCTGCGACTCTCCGTGCGCTAGACTCGCTGCCTAAGAGGGGGGAAAACAACGAGCGTCAAAGCGCTATAGCGAGATCATCTCCACCTCTCCCCAAGGGAAGAGGTAGGAGTATATAGAAAATAGAGTTAATACATATACATGTGAAATCATTCATAAAATTCTAACTGGAAGTTAATATTTAGGAAATCACAACACAAGAGTTAGTACGTCGAGCGAAATAATCCAAATAAGGAAACCCTCATGTATATTCCATGTCTCAAATTATGACTCCTCAAATACTAACTCCAAACCCTATGAATGAAAGCAATAAACCAAAAGAAAAATACTCCAAACCTCAAACATGTAGAACAAATATCTCATCCTAATCTACACTCGGGTAGATGGATCTAACATTGTAGAACAAATATCTCATCCTAATCTACACTCGGGTAGATGGATCTAACATAAAAGGAACTCATCCAAACAAAAGCCAACCAAATCTACACTCGGGTAGATGGATCTAACATAAAAGGAACTCATCCAAACAAAAGCCAACCAAAAACCATGTTTTGTAAGTCACAGTCTCAGAGAAAGCACCCTACTCGCGGGTACTCAAAAAAAATGGAAACCAATTTATAATTTATATTACTTACAAATGTGCATCTCTTATACATTAGTGATACTCTTGTAATATACTTCCTCAATCATTCTGCGGCAATAGGTTTTATCTTCCTATCCCGAAAACATAATATGATGATACTTTTATAATACTCTTACTCAATCGTCCTGCGAAAATAGGTTTCATCTCCCTATTCTGGAAACATAATATTTGTGTATTTTTCTGATTTATCATGTTAATACATTATATTATAAACATACGTATACATATCTTGGTGTACGTGTCTATGTCTGGTGTTTACTGACATTTCAGATATTAAACAGCTCATAAATATTTTATTATAATAGTACAAGATCGAGAGACTAGCTCGAAAACTCAATAGTCAAACAAAACATACACAGGGCCATAGACTGTGTGGCGGACGACCGCATAAGAACGGCGGTCGACCGCGATAGGTTCCAGAGCCTGCTCAGGCCTCTGTCCTGCACGCGTTTGACCATCACTATGGCACGGTCGACCGTGGGCTGATATTCCAGATTCTCAATCTGGTTGTGTGTGTCATGTTCACGACGTGTTTAGGTGATTCAAACATGATTAAAATGATATAAAACTTGCATGAGAGCATGTCTACAGTAGATAAAAACTTCTGGAAATAAACTCAATATATATAACATGATTATTTGCATAACATTTATATTCGAAATTCTAAGTAATGCATAAAAACTCAAAACGAAGAACAAATCATCTTTCTTCAAATTAACCACGTTTTAAATCATTTTTAGATCTTACATACTTCTGTAAATTCGTTCTCAAACTTTTTAATATGGAAAGACCTAGTCTTTATACATATAATACAATAGAATTGACTTTTATTCAAAAACTAGTCAATTTGGCTCTATGAAACATGTTAAAAATTCTTCAAAAAATATTTTTAAAACTAGGAGGGGGATTAGCAGAGATGAACTCGCCCGACACTTGTAGAAAAATGTTTTAGGATACCAAGCCGAAGCAGATCTCCAATTCAAAAGCCAAAATCACCCGAAAAATCTACTTGAAAGCCTCCAATATTCTCCAAGAATCAAATTAGGATTTGTGGGAGTTTGGTAGTTGTTAGGGTTCTTAGAAAACTGAGAAAATTCGTGAAAATTTGATATATAAACCACGGAAAATGAATATGGGCTTTAAAAAACCAAAACCAACTCAAAATAGGAATCTGACTTCTACAGGTTTCGCGGTTGACCGGACAGCGGTCGACCGCGACGGACGACCGGAC